TCGATCCGGAGAAAGCTTTTGATGTGGTTTATCGTATCTCAATCAATCGCTCGAGGACGGCCCGAGTTTGGACACTTGCTATGGCCGAGGCGATCGCCATTCGCTTGCTAGGCCCCGATCTGTGTGCNGCCTTGGTTGTGTGCGAAAACCAAGACGGAACATGACGTGTTACTTGACCCAAGTGGGAAAAGGTCACATCACCTGACACGTTAAACTTTCCTACACACACATACACACACACACACACACATTACTCTCTACCTTCGAATATTGACTCTAAAATGAACCAATGGCAATCATTATGTATGAATTTTTTCCACTATATGATATGTAAGAGCATGACTAGGAATATCCGAAAACAATTGTTCGCTCGTTTTCTCAATGCTATCATGGGAACATTTAAGCTTTTGACATCATTTATAAATGTGTTCCATTTCGACTGACTTTCTCATCGCATCATCGTCGTTACGGGATCCCGGAAATAAAGTAAGCCTAACTGTGAATGCGAAAAACGTGTTGACTGATTCTGTCTGTGGTCATAAAAGTCGGTTTGTACGTGATAAGACCGAGAAATGACCTAAGCCGGTCACTTTCTATGGTGGATACAATAATCCGGTATGAGTAGTGTACTGCTCAGATGGTGTCACCACACGGGAATTCGGTTTGTCGAATGAATAGATAATCTTCATATGTGGTCGTATTGAAGTAAATTACACGGTTATCTAAAATGAAATTATTTCCTGGGTATGAACTACTGTCTATTTAAAATGCTTTCTTGCATCGTTCGGGCAAAAATTGCAGACATCAAGATCATTATTGTTATTATTGTTATTTTTGTATGGCTCCCAATCGTTGACCAGTTCGTTTGGTGGCTGTTACACAAAACTTACTCCGCTAATTGAAAAAAAAACTATTTTACATATTTCTGGATTGTGGATGGAGTGGACTATACGGAAATAATCGAGCATACCTGCTCAAGGTCACGTCTGAATGCACTGTGTAAAAAGACAAACACGAGGTCATAGGAACAACGTCATCTCTGTTTCAAGAGGCTTGACTGTATAAATTTCTATTATAAAAAACAACGAACTGGCCGAGTAATTCACTTTGTTTCTGTGTCTGCAAATTGCTGTAATTTTTCTTGTTCCTGTCATCTCGTTTTAGCCAATTCTGTACTGGCGAGTATCGGAAGGATGGCGTTCCGACAGGATATAAAGGCTCATCTTTTCACCGGATCATTAAAGACTTTATGGTTCAGGGTGGTGATTTTATCAATGTAAGTTTTGCCTTTGGTTCGGAGTGATGTCTGAAACCAATGAATCCAGTTCCTGCCTTACAGAGATATTGGCAATAAACTATGAGACGTATATTTAATACTGATTGCTGGTATTCGTGGAACTACTCTTGGTGCCTCATTTGTGATTCTGAAAACCTTGGTTGAATTTCATAGGACATGGGATGAGATGTCCCCGTGCATCTGAAACAATCTTATGCTTCTCGTACACAATCATATATTGGTTGAACCGAAAAAATTTTGGGCATTTGTTTTGGAGACGATTTTCATCAAGATTATCAGGAAACGAGCCTTAAGTGCGCTGTTTTTGGAGTTACACATGTGACTATGGTGTGTGCACGTTATACTACTGTCTACCTACGAGGTTCTCATTCTACTTCCTTGTTCACAGGATCGTAGGTGAGGTGGAGGAGTATTCTAAATGATGGCTCTCGTACTCATCTTTTTTGCCCGCACTCCGTATCTTTATCTTGGCACCACTCTCAGCTTTTCCCCACTTTTCTTCATCAGTCCTGTATGTATTGTATATATTTCACACATCTCTGAATCCATACTGTTCCAAACAAATCACGGTACAGTAATCATTATACGAAAGAGAAAGTTCCATGATTTCTATGTGGGCGGAATACTACCAGGTTGCCCAAGCCAAGGCAAGTGAATTTTTTTGAGTAATTCTCAAACGGAGCCTTCGGCTAGTCAACCTGATTCGCAAGGTGGTGGTGTGGTGTGTGAAAACCGCAATCTATTGAGGGCCGGTTTCCAGTGCATCGGATCATACCCGCTTTTGACGGGGTCAAACGTCCAAGGTGCCCAATGCACCTCGATACCTAATCGAGGTGGTGACCACAGATACCATCAAGAAAAAGTGAATGAGGGCGGTTCGTACACCTCTTCTTGGTTGGTTTGGAATCAGCGTTTTAGCCAACTCCTCTAGATGGACTACCAGTGGTTCACCGAGTAGTTTATAGCCAGGGATATTGGTGTTTCGTCCCATTACTTTGGTGGGGAACATCTCTACCACGAGAACGCAGTGAGTGGGGCTTCCACAGCAGAGGCTATTTGAGATGCTTGGTTGTATAAAAGCATTTGTCGAGGTGTAAGGGATGGGTGACCGGTCAGAACCCAAAACACCCACCTCCAACCATACTGAGGCTTTCAGAGGACTTCATCGGTCTTCCAAATGGATAGCCAAAGGACAGTAACCGAAACCAATATAGGAAAGTGCAGCCTTAATAGTCACAAAAGCACAAAATGCTGAAACCTTTTGGACTGAAGAGAAATGCGACACATTAGTTCTCAATCCTGTACCCATTTGTCTCTGTATATCCATGGATTCCCTTTTGCACTGATAGTCAGTTGCATGCACCAACCTCATCCATTCGTCTTCCTTTTCCTCCCTGAAAGTGTACCACCAGTGCCGATCATGCCAAGTGAGAAAATTTGGTCTGACGGTAGCTGAAGTAACCGCGATATACCATCCCCTGTTAGCTGGGCACATGTCATTTGTTATTCGCTCTCTGGTTCCTCGGACACCGAATCGCGTTAAAAGACAGTTAGTTGGTCCCCGTTTCTATGCGGTTTATCTTTCTTCCCGCTGATCAATGAAAATAGTGTGATGAAAGAGTTTTCGTTCGTTTATTCCTAAAGGCCCGATGCAGTGATTGGGTCTAATCGCTACTTATTTTTTCTGCGGAAAGGATGTTCTGCATATTGGATTGGGAAGCTCTCTCGCAATTGCTCAGGGCGCTCAAACCGAGGAAGGGAATTTCATTGAGGGGTTCCACCAGGGTCATGTGGTCATCCAAAGCATCATCCGTCAGACAGCGGACCAAAGTCAGAAGCTGTGGTTTCGTGATTGTCATTTATACAGTAAAATGTTCAAAAAATCATAATTCCCAAATGACTCTTCAACTGAGGATTGAGTTGAGCAATAACCTTAGTTTTTAAAGACCAATCAAATCAACCTTTGTTATGATGCAGCCACTGAGTTTTGTGACTTTTGTTGGTCGCATGATTCACTTTTTATTCATGACTGCAATTGCCCGTCACTGGAGATACTTTTCAGCCTTCTACTACGGAGTTTTGTTCAGTGACATACTGTCGGCCACGCTCCTTGAATTGTGTTTCGAAATGGAAGCCGATGATTTCGGTTTGATGTGATCTGGCAAATCCTTTACACAATCGCCATTTCACCAACTCATTGACATTCACAATACTCCAACGGGTACTATGTATCTAAGTGAATTTGTGTGCACATATGCCTAATGGACTGTGTTGTTATCTTTCGCAGAGGTGCAATTATTTGACCGGAAGTGTGTTCTGTCTGTTTCTTTTGTCACGTTGCTCGTCTCCTTCTTCTTCTTCTTCTTCTTCTTCTTCTTCTTCTTCAGAGCGACGGAACCGGTTCGTTCAGTATCTACGGTGGGTCCCAGTTTGCGGATGAGAATTTTCAGGTGAAACACAGTTCACCAGGGATGTTGTCTATGGTAAGCGTTTTTTTTTTGCGAGGCACTTTTAATTTGCCCAATTGAATATGCTCCGGCTCATAACAATCGACACTGACTCTTCTCCGTCATTTAGGTCTAACTTTTTTTAAAGATCCGCTTTGAATATTCTCTGTTGTTGCCCGTTCTTTCAGAGTCTACCAGACAAAATTACCTTTTTAATCCATACATTGTCTATCAAACACTGGAGCCGAGTACTTTCAGGAGGCGACGTTTCACTTGATGTGACAAATAGACCGTTGGTTTCCCGTCATAATGCTTAATGCGATTCTGCGTTAATTATCCAGGTTTCTGATCCTGATTGATATATTTCGTTTATTTTTGACGACTCATGTGATCATCCTAATCGTGTCACCGTAATAATCCATTTTTACGCGCCTATGTTTTTCTTTTTATCAAATCAAACTGTATTTACTAAAAATTGAGATTAATTATTTTCAGTCGGAGTCACGGGCTCGATAAATTCTCATTAACCGATCTGTCTCTCTGTGTCCAATCTTTCTTCCTTCCCATCAAAGGCGAACAGTGGTCGTGATACGAATGGTTGCCAGTTTTTCATCACTTGTGCACCTTGTGACTTTCTTGACGGGAAACATGTGGTTTTTGGTAAGTTGTGTAATCTTATTTTTTGCAGTGGACTAGAACTAGAAAGTCAATTTCAGTTTGATCCTTTCGTTATCATCGTACATCCAAATACACTGGGGCGAAATTCAACGATCGCTGCTAAACTCTCAATGCATATAAAGCTAGTGGTAATATCTAAAACTGAAAACAGACACACGACGGTTTACCTCCAGATTACTAACCCGTTCACTCTATCCTACGTGCATCAAACTAACTAAACACCGGTTATCGAAAACGTTGGTCGATAAACATCTATTCGCAAATTTAAGCTCTCACAACCGCGAAGCAGAACCGAACAAAGCGTAGCACAATGTACGTGACCATCCAACTCCGATGGAACGTTGCGTTTACGCCTTAAGGTGTTTCAGTCCTGCTTACGCTGCTCGAGCCTTGGAAATGCAGGTGGTTATCTCCTTTGTTGCACTGCAGCCATTGATCTCGCAACTACCTAAGTAGGAGAAGCAATCCACTGTATTTAATGTCTGTCCGTTTAGTTTCAACGCGAGACTAGGTGACATCCAGTCTTACAACATTACTTTGCACTTTGAAGACGCAATGCACATACCGATTGAGCTAGCAGTAGCAGTTAAACCATCAAGTGTGCTTTGCGCGTCCTTCTCATTTGGTGTGTTTGGTTGGAGTCGTGGTCTTAAAAAAAGTGTAAAAGTAACTGTGAGTCAAATGCGAATTATCAATCCGGTCATGACTTGGTGGGAGGCTTTCGATTGGAGTTAACAGGTTGTCACCTGTGAACTGACTGGCTGACTATCACTGAAGACAACACCTCAACAAACATGAATTGACAACTCTGTGAAGCCTTGGTATGAGCTGGTTGGGACAGTGGGTAACAGACACACCTTCCATACCATGGGTCCGGAATTCAAATCTAGGACAGGAGGGTGAATATTCACTACTGATGAGTTCTAATAGGAGCGAAACTCAAGACTATTGCTTCCGAGTGTATGGTTGAATCAATGAACAGAGGATTGTGCATGAAGGTGCAGTCCGAAGGATAGTCAGCCAAATCATTCAGTATCAATTATCCCACACCACTACTCATAAGTAACCGTGAGTTAACTGCGAAATATAGTTAATATATTAGAGTGAATTGATTTTTGTGTTGTCGCTGCCATAGCTTCATTGGTAAATAACTTGCAGTGTGGTCTTGTATGTACCGGTATCGATCCGACCCATGATGGTTTCAGTTTCAGTTTTTACAAACGATGCGTGCCCCGGTTTTGGTTGCTGTCTTTTGACCGCCCATTTGGATAAAAGAGCAGAGTGAAGATTGGAGTGTTCTGAGCAGAGTCAGAGTGAAGAAAGATAATTGGTAGAGACTGGGGCTGCAAGAACGTTGAGTAGGTGCTTGAGCGCCACTGTTGGCGACACTCAGCCATATCACTCAGTGTCTCTAAACCTCGGTTATCGAGATCTCCGTCCAGGGAGCCTATGTGACCCAGTCTCCTGGTTAGGATTTTCATATCCTCATTGCAGGTCTTAGTTCGACCGCCCTGGACTCTTTTCCAACTGTTTCCTGCCTCGGGAAACGTCGTGGGTCGTAACAACAGGCTCTTAATATATACATACAGGTGGATATGAAATTATCTTACACCAAATTGTCTGGTTCTCAAAAGACCCAAGTTGAATTCTCATACACACCACCAGAGATAACCGTTGGTCAACAATTACCAATCATTAGCACAGATTTCTTTACAAATGAGAGCAAGCATTGGTGCACTGTGGATTGACTGTGTCAGTCACGTCAACTAGATTGCCCCCAGAATATCTCGCTGCTATCCGCGTTGCAGTCAACGCATAGATACACTCTGTGCACTGGAGCAGCATTCATGCTACGCATAACTCTACGCTAGTGATATGTAAGTTTTAACTACTGGTTGTCTGCAGCAGTGAGACGGACTATTTAGTGTATGAGAATTCCTAACGCATATGTATATTTCAGTTTCCAATATCATACTTACACATCGTTCGATAGCTGTGTATAGAGAGCATTCATTCCGAACTTTATCTCCCTCTGTTCTTATTTCTCTTGAACTGACTGTTCGGATTTCTGCCAACTTGGTTGTTAGGATGAAGTTTTTAAAAATTTCGATGGGTATCCTTCAAAATTGGAAGTCGATTGATGTACTGCTGCACGAAAGTTAATCCTAGTTCTCTAAATATCATAGCTTCTTCCATGCGGTGCAAAACAAGTATATCGACAAATGTTAGTCTATTATCACAAATAAATTGGGTTATCTTTTGAACTAAATGCTGCGGGTTTGAAGCCACAACCCGCTGTCCATTTTTTTTCCATTTCCCTAATAGTCTCTTGCTTATTTCGAAACCCATTGGCTCTCCTCCAAATCTAGCCGGCTTAAGGAAAGCATTTTTTTTCATAGTTGAATCTACCATTTTTCTATTCATATATATATATATATATATTTCAAATGCTTCTGAGTTCAGACTGTATGCCAAACAAATCGCGGTACAATAATCTTTACCAAAAGAAAGAAGTTCCGCGATTTGTATGTGGGCCGAATACTACCCGCAATCCATTGGGGGCCGGTGTCCAGTTCGTCGGATCATACATCTTTCGACCGGGGTCAAACGTTCAAGATGCCCAATACACCTCGATGCCCAATCGAGCCGATGACCGTTGTCACAACCGGAAAGGTGTGGGTGTGGTTCGTACGCCTCTTCATGGTTGTTTTAGAATCAGGGTTTTTGGCCAACTCCCCTAGGTGAACTGCTAATGGTACACCAACCTTGGATATTGGTTTTTCGTCCCCTCACTTTGGTGGGAAAACACCTCCGCCAGGAAAAAGGCAGTGAGAAGGGCTTCCTTAGCAGAGACCATTTGGGAATCTTGGTCGTATGGAAGCATTTGGTGAGGTGCAAGGGTAGGGTGACCAGCCGCTATCCTAGACACCCACCCCCGACCATACTGAGGCTTCGGAGGAAAATGAGACATTTGAATTGTTTGTATTTTTCCGGAAAACTCAACTTTTGAGGGCAGACTCATTCCAGTGTAGCGGCGGTCATCGTGCGGTTAAGAGTACCAGCTTATCTTGTGTTTTGTGTTCGAACCTCATCAGGTCGACTAACTTTCTCCATTTTCTGTGTATCTCACGGTGGCCCCATGATTGGCCACTTCCGTCTTCTGGAAAGCCGTTTATGCCACTATATGTTCAATAAAAGAAGGTTAAAGAAGAAATCAAATGACAATATATATCCTTTAACTTACAGCTACTTGCGAGTAGTGTTACGGGTTAATTTTTATTGATTGGTTGGAACGCACATTCCTGCGTTCTTCCGATTAACCATACACTCGGAAGCAATAGTCTTGAGTTTCGCTCCTATTAGAACTCATCAGTAGTGAATATTCACCTTCCTGTCCTAGATTTGAATTCCGGACCCATGGTATGGAAGGCGTGTGTGTTACCACTGTTCCAACCAGCTGAAGCCATGGCTTCACAGAGTTGTCAATTCATGTTTGTTGAGGTGTTGTCTTCAGTGATAGTCAATCAGGCAGTTCTCTTTGGCTCGACAGCTTCCGAGTGTATGATTGACCGGAAGAGCTGAGGAGTGCGCTTGAAGGTGAAGTCGGAGTGATGCCCAGTTCCAATCCATCAATGAAATATCTCTCTGATTTTCAGTGTGACTGTTTATTGGGATGCAATCATGAACCGAATACACTGTGCAGGATTTGGGTAACCGGTCATTTTTAATCACCTCTCTTAGTCACAAATCCTTGCATCTTGGTGATAGAAAAAACCAAACGGCATCTAATTACATATTCTCGTTACAGGTCAAATCGTTGACGGTATGCTGGTGTTGAAAAAAATTGAGAATGTTCCAACCGGAGCAAACAATCGTCCTAAAGTGCCCGTACTCATTTCCCAATGCGGAGAAATGTGATCGATCCCCGACGCCACTGCCGCGATTCACATGTGCCATCTGGTTGGGTCAAATTTTGTACATCCGAATTGCATTTTATTTTCTCAAATACATTTGTGATAGATACACTCTGGTTCTTGTTTCTCCCCACATACCTTTGTACGCAAACGTTTGCTCGTTGAATTTGGTTGGTTGTTATTTCGTGTTAGTCAGTCAGAGGTCTCACAGAATGTGGCACATCAGAACGTGTGCCAGAGTATTAGTTCATTTGCAATATTCGGGTCGAATTCGTGCAATTTCGGACTAGTCTTTTAAATGTGCTCCATACTGGTGCGATCTTCTTTTCAGAATCATATTTGAACCTACTTTTTCCTCAATTACTCAACCGGCTATCTTGGTACTGCATTATTAGCAATAGTCGACCCAGAGGGATTTTTATGGTGACGTATTCACATAAACATGGTTCTCATTCGCACTCCAAATCGCTCCGCACACGCCATTCTGGAGAAAAACGTTATATTCCGTTGACTTACTTCATGGGCTATTAGTATATGAATTTTGACTATTAGCACCTGGTAACCCAACTCAGCTGATACTAAGGTTGATGTGGCATCTTATAAACTGATTGACCAATCAGTATCACCGATGTCATTTTATATCCTTTTTGCAGTTGAATGACCTTCTTTTTGATACTCTAAATTGATTAAGCCATTCGCACAAGATGATGACCGTCGACCTTGTAGCTCAGGGGTATGGGTTTGAAATCCCGACCCGACTGATCGCGGTTCGAGTCCTGACAGGGACCCAAAAGTAGGCACTGCTGACGAGTCCCAAACAGGACGGAATAGTGCTCTTTGTTGGTTATCACAAACATTTCCAGCGCATCTGAATGATCAGCTATTTGTCTAGGTCGGCATCACTGTGTTCCCTAGGTTCACTCATCCCGACCTTGGAAAGCTCATCACTGTTTGCGTTTCAGTCTATACATAGGTGCTCATGCGTATGCATGAAATGAAGAAAAAGGTAGTGTGCCTGTGTGTGTGTGTGTTTGTGCCTGCGCACTTGAACCGTGTTCATTCGACCCGAAAATCTAACTGGAAACTACTGATACTATCTTCCGTGGTTAGACTGGGACCTTCATTGGACATCACTGTCCTGGTGTTTTGGAGACACTAATTCACCGGTGCAGAGAGTTATCTCCCCTACTATTCGTTTATGATGACCGATACTGCAAGGCCTGGCAAGTGAACTGGCGATCCACAAAGGCCCTAATATGATACATATGATAGTGAACCAAAATACGGCAAAACGGCGTACCACCAATAAATATATGCGAAATTCGTAATGCATAAGCTTACATTTAGACCGGAAAATATTGAAAAAGTCTCCTGTCGGAGACGGTGATTTGATCAGATAAAGGACGCTAGTTGTCGTATCCCGAGACTCCTTATTTCCTGAACATTGATGTACGGGCTAAATACGAGTCAAGTTAATTTCTGTGCTCGTCAATCGACTACCATTGATTACAAGGTTCCACGTGGCTCGAGTAGTGAATTTTATTCGCACGGATAATCTTGAAGCTTTGAAAATCAAAAGGACAGAACTTGAATCAAAAAGTGAAAGGAAATGTTTGTATTCACTGCACTCCAGTGACACCATTTACTTAGTACAAACAGTTGGTTGGAACACGTATATAGTTGAGGAGCCGTGACACGTACATTTATGCGTGTATTCTGACTTGAAGGATTTGAATGCATAGCCAATCAGGTTACGGTGAGGGATATGAAGAATGTATATCTGGTATCTTCATGAGTGATATTTCTCCATATTGGTGGAGTTCCCAAACAAAATGAGTACATTATCACTGTTTACAGCATACAGTAAAATCAGCTGTACAACCAGGGTGGTGGTAGTGGTGGTTGCACACAGCTGTTGGTGCTGTTTTATTCCGTACGAATAACTCACGAGTTGTGTATGCTGACTCTTTTCGTTTGCGATGCCACTTGTCGTCTTTGCGCGTGGAGATTTCATAATTTTCGTGGCCGGATTCCATTATTTTCCTAAGTTTTCCACTACTGATTTTTATTCACTATTGTTTTAGGCGTCTGCCAAGGCATCTCGTTTTGGTGAACGCGTGCTGAGCAGCACTCGTATATCGGAAAATAGTCAGCTGGTGAATGAGCCCGACCAGGAGGAACATAAACCGGTCCAGCAAGCTCATCGTCGACGCCGTCTGCGTGTTCTCGTTGATGATGATGAGGATCGAGAATTTGCGCTGGAAACGCCAGTGAATGATGAGAACACTGATCCCTCGTTTTTGTCCAATGCATTGCCCTCCTCTATTCCCGCACCGGTCTCTTCATCCAGGTTGTTCAGCGATGACGATGAAGATAACGGACCGGAAGCGAACACCGGTGAAGAACAGACAGTGAATGGACGCAAGCAGCGTGACGGTCGATCCAAGATTGTGTTCTCAGACGAGGACGAGGACGAGGACGAGGAGGTGGAGGTGGAAGAGTTTGAAGGTGATGGGGAACGAATCGCACCGTTGTCCACTCGTCTTCGTGCGACGTACGATCCACGCATATCAATCAGTGAACGAGATCGACTGGCTGAACGCAGTCCTTCCGTTGCATCGGTAGTTTCTGAACCGGAAGATTACGAGGCGGAAGAAACCAATGATCTTCGGGGGGCAGATCGAACCCAGGTTGTTGATGCGCCTGACGATGGTGAGCCAAACCTACTTTGTTGTGTTTCATTTTGTTTCTTTTGAGGAAACCTCGTATTCATGATAGTTCTTTCCTCTATGATTTTCTCGAATAGTTTTTGGTGGTGTACTACAGCTATACCGAGAACTTTGCTGTGTATTATTATTAGGCTGGTGGTGGCGCAGTGGATTACTCGCTGTCACCGGTGTGCTTTGAACCCTGTGGTCCGAGGCTCGAGGCCCGTCACCTTCACCCAACTTTGGTGGTGCACAGCTTGACTGTCGTCCGGTTCAATACCACGCCTAACTTATCGGGGCCTTATGTGGTTCGCTACTCCAAGTCTCGTGGCTTAGGTCACCAGTTTTCATAACAGAGCAGCAGGTTTTCGCGGCTGTGGGGTTTACCCCGTTTAGTGTTTACCACAGAAATGTGTGTAATAAAAAAAAATGGGAAGGATATCATTTTGGTCACAATGAACAGGAACCAAATCTTCACATGCATTCTGAGTAGTTTGCTAGTAGGAGATTAACTACGACCTCTGTTCGTCGAGTTTCTCTTTAGATGTCTCAGTAAACGGGTTGAAATAAATTGGGCTAAAACGGTTGTTTACTTGATCACTATGGTATGTTTCGAAGCAGTTACTGTACAGGAATACCTGCACTGTACCAATTCCTCACGATTCGATCTACCTGCATTTGGATCACTTATGCTCGCCTCTGGATCGTCTAATCTGGCATGCTGGACATTCATACGTGTAGCATGATGAGTATCGAAATTATTGAAAAATGCAGTTATTGGTACTCTGCTCGATTCTGTACTTCGTTGTCTAAGAAGATTTGATTAGGATACAGCTACTTATAATATCTCTGGGATCTCATGGAGCAAAATAAGGGATTCATTCAACAACAAAAAAACAAAACAATTGTATTCATTACACGGTATAATAAATTATAAAGATGCCGCAATCAAGGAAACTGATTTCAGCAGCTTGGGCTAATGCAGCACACAACCTTCTATAAGGATAAACGTAATTGCCGATACCGCATCTCAGTGTGTGATCGGTCATCCTTCTCATGACCTCGTTTCTCCAGGTGGAGGAGGACTTGAATTCCAGATTTCCGTAACTATCGAAAACGAACACGAATCGTTTTCGCAACCTTCTTTTGTGTATTCAGAAACAACAAACCTGTTCTACATACCCCATGCAAATAGACTACCATTATCGAATCTGATAGATTCATGACTTCAAAGCTGAATTGGTCGTGTATATGTCAAATGAAGTGTGAACTGAAAAGCTTGAAAGCATTGGACAGCTGTTTCAACATGGTTTGGTCTCATCAGCAGCGCGAATCCATCGACTCAACCAGAGATCGAACCCGGGATCTCATGGGCAGAACGCAAGCATGCATCCCACTCAGCCACCGAGCAACTGATCAGACCGTTTTTCATTTTCCATTTACACGATATAGCACAACCCATCTTTGCGAGCGTTGTGGGCAACAGACCCTGCTCATCTCAGCACTAACATTTCTCTCCCCCCTCTGTTTTTCTATCTATAAAACCATTTTATGTATCCAACTAATGAAGCATCGACACGAACCTCGTTTGTTGTTGTTGTTGTTATGTATTCCGATCGAAAAAGCCTTCGGGAATTTTTGTAGCTATAATATTTCGTTTGTTTTATATATTACAGATGTGGATGTGCAAGCGCTCGATCGACTGCGTCGACTTGCCAAGGGTGCGTCGAAACACAAAGTAAAACATCCGCGACCCAAATTGGATCCAGAATGGTATGCTTATTTCCTCTTTACCGCTCTATCACATCTCTTGTCACCAAACAGTCTTTGCAGCTTTTTAGTAGATCAAATATGAGTTTGTGTTGAAGCTGTAGATCGCCCTTGAACGACGTGAGGCTAAATATTCTGCCAAGTGTCCTCGTGCCACAAACACCGTTGAGGCGAAGCTCGATACGCCTGTTTTATTCAGGCTGGAGGTTGTCAGCAATTTAAAAATTGAGTCTTGGGTGGTGCTGGTGGTGGCGGGGATCAAACTCGGGTTTACAGAGTTGCCAATATGCTACCTAAGTCATCCGCACAACATAATACAACGTCCATCCCACTCTTCCAATAAACGGTGGCTATTTCCATTTAGAGACTCACTCATTGATTTGCATCTTCCTGGTTATAGACCACCATGGTTGGGTAAACAGAACGAACATGCCGATGACATTGCCTTGCTGGGTGATAACACACAGGCTGTCCAAAACGCTTTGAACCGCTTGGTGATCGAGGTATCCTGGTTTGGTATATGGTT